GAAATTCGTGTATTTTCTGTAAAACATGGCAAACATTTAATCATCAGAGATTTGTTGGTTTTATTTTGAGAGATTATTTTAAAGTGAGCTTTATAAATTGGCCAGGTAAATTCAATATTTGTACCCACTGATGTTGGGTTGATTATTTCTTCTGTTACTTAATCATCATTAGTATTATAAAACATTTGTCGTCACCCTTTGCTCAAAATAAAATTTGTTTGGTTTATTCTGTAATAAATCAAACTCGGACATAATAATTAAAAAAATATAAATATTTTTAATATAAAAAAACGTTAAATAAAAAGATATCACACATATATCTAAAAATAGATACCTATAAAAAATGCATCAAGATACTTATAGTTTTTGTAAAAGCCGGATCCGGCTGGTAAATAAAAAATATCAATTCGGTCTGAAGTCAGTTTTAATAAGTGTCATAGGCATCTCGTTTTATTTTATAATTTCATCTAAATGACTATCAATGGCGGATTTCGATGTATGTACACTACACTATTTAATGCATCGCTTTTCATCACCTGAATGGTTGGTCAACAAATTTAACATGTTGTGTGACCAGGTTTCCCGAAAACCTAATTTCTAATTTTAAATGTATAAACAAATATTCAAAAAATTAGGAGTTCATTAGATACGAATTCGTACTTGTTCACCGTAAAATCAAGGCAATAATACCACACCAACTAAGCCGAGTATATAGAATATATAAAACATTCAAACGTTCCGATAAAAAATCTTATTCTATTCATGTATCACCATTTTTTCAATTTCTTATTTTCTAAAAAATAAACTAGTACACTTAATTTTTTTTTTATAAAGAACGTTTTTTGATATTATTTTAAATTCTTCTTCTTCTCCGTCAGGTTTACCCGGGTAGGCCAGTTTTCCCTCTGATTTTTCTTTTCCATTTTTGACGGTCCTGAGCATCAATATTTGTAAAATTCATACTTCTCATATCCGCCGCTATCATATTTGTCCACGTCATCTTGGGTCTTCCTCTAGGTCTTGATCCTCCTACTTCATTGTGCATCTCTTTACCCAGTCATCTCTTGTCATACGTTCCACATGCCCAAACCATCTTAGTCTATTTCGTCGCAATACCATACCAATCATTTCTATACCTAATCTTGCTAGCAATTCCTTGCTAGTTTTTCTCTCTCTCAGAGATACCCCACACATCCATCAACCATCCTCATCTCTGTTCTTTCTAATTTGGCTTCGTGAGTCGCTTTCATTGCCCATGTTTCACCGCCATAAACTAAACAACTCCTCACACAGCTTACGTAAACTTTCCTCTTTAACTTTAGAGAGACTTTTTTATTTGTAAGAATAGACGGCATCTCTCTTAACTTCTTCTAAGCTTGTCTGACCCTTGCAACAATGGCAGAATCTACACCACCATCTGCGTTTAGCATATCACCCAAATAACAAAACTTATCCACTTTTTCTAGGGTTAACCCATTTTCAATATCTAGACCACCATTTTCTACATTATCGTTATTATGTATCAATTTCATATATGTTCTTCAAATAAAGGTCATTTTTTCTAACATCAAACTTCCTTTTTTCCCGCTACATCTATTATGTACCCATTTTTGGCATCTGGTGCATTGGATTGAATTTCTAGCAACTCCTTTCCCACATACACCACAAGGCCACTTACCGGATTCCTCCATCTTTAGATTTTCCACACCAATCATCACCTTTGTTTTTGATGCATTCATTTTCAGGCCCTTTGCTTCCATAGTCATCTTCCATTTACTAACTTTATCCCTCAATTCTCTCTCACTGTTTGCCATTAATACAAGTTTATCTGCATATAATATCTCCCAGGGAAGTCCTTCACGCATTTCTCTAGCCACCATATTCATTACTAAGATAAATAATAATGGACTCAGCACGGATCCTTGATGAAGTCCTACCTTCGCCTCAAAGTTGTCACTATCACCATAATCCGTCCGTACTGCTGTTTGTGCTCCAACATACATTGCCATCACTGCGGTAACCAACCATTCCTCCACACCTGATTTTCTCAAGGCCCATCTAGTAATCTCACGCGGCACCCTATCAAATGCTTTCTCCAAATCAACAAACGCATAATAGAGTTTCTTTTCCTTCGGAAGATACTTCTCCTGAATTTGTCTCACCACAAAAATTGCATCTGTCGTGCCTTTTCCCGATGTAAAACCAAACTGCATTTCATCAATTTTAATTTGTTCCCTTAACCGCTTCTCTAACACTCTCTCAAATACTTTCATTGCATGTTCCAAGAGTTTAATAGCTCTGTAAGACCCGCAATCTAAAGTATCACCTTTCCCCTTGTATACTGGGATAATTATACTTCTTCGCCAGTCCTCGGGAATAGTACCTTCTGTGACAATTTGATTGGCTAAATTCATTAACCATTATATCCCTAAATCCTCAGAACCTTTAAACATCTCTGATACCACCATCGTTAAACCCGATGCCTTCCCTTTCTTCATCTTTTTCACTGCTCTCTTTATCTCGTCCTTGCTAAATTTACACCCTGGACCTTCTACCTTTGCACAACTAATATTATTATCCCATTCATTTTCTTCATTCAAAAGTCCTTTCATGTAAATCTTCCAGGTGTTCTTAATACCACTACCATCAATCGCTATTTTTCCTTCCATATTTTTCAAACACTTTACACCTATCACATCCTGCCTCTTTTTTGACATCTGTTTTGCCATTCGAACCATATTTCCAATTCCATCAGCGCATTCCATTTCTTTAGCAAACTCGTGTCTTTTTTCTTCTTGAGCCTTCGCTATTAATTTCTTAGCATTTCTTTTAGCCATCTTGTAAATATCATTATCACTATTTTCTTTGCTATTCTACCATACTTTGAAACACCTCCGTTTCTCATCCGCGGCTTTCGCTACCTCCGGGCTCCACCACCAAATCTCCTTATGTCAGGCGGCCCTTTTGTCCATCCACATACCTCCTCAGTTGTCATTATCCAGGCTTTCTTCATGGCTTCCCACTTGTCATTCACCCCAGATGCTTGTGCCACCTCCGCCTCCCTGATCGCCAATGCCATATTGAATTGAAGTCTAGCACTCTCCTTCAATTTCCAAACCTTCAGCCTTGGGACAAACTTTCTTTTAGTGACCCTGGCATCTTTAAGAGTGAGATTTCCTACAACTAGTCGATGCTGATTTATACATTCCTCTCCCGGTATCACTTTCACATTTTTTTACTATACATCGATCACATTTCCTTAATAACAAGTAATCCACTGCACTTTTGGTACTACCCAACTTATAAGTCACCAGCTTCTCTGATTCTTTCTTAAACATTGTATTACAGACAATCATATCCATAGCATCACTAAAATCTAAAATCCTCTCTCCTTCCAAATTCATCATGCCGTAACTGAACCCTCCATGTACTCCTTCATAACCCTCACTCTTTTTGTCGTAGGCGGATGAGGGCTGTACCCCGCCCATGCTTTGTTGTAACCATAGGGAAATTTTGTAGCAAGGTTTTTACAATCGGATGCCCTTCCTGACATCAACCACTTTAAGTGGTTTTTACACCCCGTCGAGGAGACGGTGATCCTATTCTAGACCCATATCACAGGGAACCTTTTAGACCTCCATTAGCCGCCAAAAGACGTTGCCACTCCCCCGCCACGATGAGGCTGAAGGTAGGATTTTGGGAGAGTTTGATATTATTTTAAATAATTAATTAAAATCATATATTTCTGGCAAATGCAAAAAGGTCAATGAGAATTATTTCGACTTTTTCTCTTCCATTCAAAAAATTTCGTTGAAATATTATATCGTCTGCAAAGAGTATTTTATTCCGTTAATTTTTTTTCTAACAAATAGCTAATACAACTGTCATAATGATTACCATTTTTATTTTGGTTTGCCACATAAATTTTTTAAATAAATAAAAGCAATTTTTAAAAAAACAAATTTTAATAGGAAGCTAAAATGATGCGTTATCAGCTGATTTGTATTTATAAGTATTTGAATAAAGAATTCGTCAGTCTATATAGTATTATAATATGCCATTGCTTACATTAAATATATCTCATTCTATTCTATAGATGTTTGGGTAATTTACTATATGAAAACCCGTGTATACTATATCCTAACAAATCAAATCCATTCTTTTGAATTAATCATTCCTCCCACCCCTTTAATTTGTTTCTCCATAATAAAGTGATTGTTTTCTTTATTTTTTAAACTAATTTTGTTCATCATATTCAAACATTATGCTACTTTCATCATATAAATTTTATTTTGGCGAGGTTATTTTCTCTAAATTCGAGAAACAAGCAAAACCTTTTTCAAAATGATGATTGGAGGAATGTATACCATTGTTTTCTGCTAACGCCATATACCCTTTTCGCGGACATGCACTCCCAAGAATCACGTTCATATCTTTGTGTTATCATTTCGTGTGTAATGAGCTAAAAGCCAAATCTACGATTCAGGGCGAGAAAGTCCAACTATTTCGATCCAACCCGGTGCGTGAAGATGAAAGGCATTTTCCCGACCCGACCCAACATGAAAAAAATTATAAAAAATATCTCGATAGACCGAACAACTAATTAATCCAATATTCCAAAGTAATCCCACCTGAAAATCAAATATAATTTATTTTATCGGGTTGGTATGTCGAGTTTTTAAGCCTCTAGCGAGGGCTACACTCCAGACCTTGACCTGGAGCTAGATTGTCAAAAAGCCAGATAAGATGCCAAATTAATATTATGTAAGCCCGGAGATTTTGTTCGTAGATGGCAGAAAGGGTTAGACCTCTATTTGCCAAATATAAAGACTTACATAATATTATTTTGGCTAAAATTTTAATCGAGTGGTTTTTAAAAATCAACCCGAATCAGGCTTTTTAACAACCCCTGGGTCTACTTATGGGAGAGAAATAATTTGGAGCAGGCTTGGTAAATTTTAAAATATTTTTTTTTTAACAAAATGTAAAAATAATCTAACCATTTTGTTATAATGAATGGACTTCTCAAAATCACCCAACTGATAATGAATGCCTCCCAAATTGCTGTATAATCTGCTGAGCAAGGCTTCGTTCCTGATAACGGAACATAGTTCCAAGGCATCCCTTTAAATTGTGATCAAATAGCATAAATATCAAAAATAATGAGGCATTGTCATTTTTAATTTAATTTTTTGTAAAATAATCAAATTTATTATTCATATTCGAGAATCGAGAATAATTAGGTTCCGGAAAAAAAAGAGAATTTAAGATAATAAATGATATTCCTTATATCTCAGCCTAGATCTTGTTACTCCTAACAATTAAGAATAAATTATAGGTGCATCGTTCATAAGGTAATATAAAAAATCTTAAATAAATGAGGATGAACCCTAAAAAACAGCACATAATTCATAATAAAAATAGCCGTATAAAAACCACTAATTTACCTAACTTTCATATGTATATGAAAATAAAATGAGTTAATTATTTTCCCTTACTCGTAATATTGAGAGGCCATTTCCAGGCATTTCACTATTTGGGTCCTGAGCCCTTCATCCAAATTATCGGTGTATATGCTGACAGTGCCAGCTTGAGAATTAGTGGCGTGCTTGTGGAGAAACCTGGCGACGATATGATAGAGATTTCCTATATTGTAAAGGGCTTTAATCAGACTTTCCTTTTATTTCGTTTTTTTTGAAAAATTATAAATTGAAAATATTTCAAGCGCTGTTATATCAAAGGTTTACTTGTGGCCTCTCGAGCGACACGACATTCCGACTTCGAGAATGCAAGATGTGGAGACATTCTTTTTGAATGTTTTGACAAAATATATAGAATGCAACGATTATTATTTTGATCTATTAGCTAGATTTTTAGTAAGTTTAAAAATTCGATTGTGGGTAAGGGACACATACGCATTATCAATTTAACCTATCTCATCACATTGCAAGTCAGGTCATTACTATTGCTAAAGAAAATTGCAAATGAAAACCCGGATGTAGAAAAATGGAAATGAGGATATAAAGAAAAGAAATATGGAAATTATTTCCATATAATTGGTACTAGTGTTGCGTAATCGGCTAAAAACTACGCCTAAGCCTAATTAGGCTTAGCCTATAAATCACCTAATGGCTAAAACTAAATTAGTCAAAAATTCTGCATCGGCTAATCGTCCAAGATATGCCTAACATTAATTATTATTTATTTATTTTAAATAATTTATTTTGTTTATATTTAATGTAAATATTTTATTATTATCAACAAATAAACATAACATGAAGATTTAATATTTTTTATTTATATTATTATATTATGAAAGAAAATAAATTTATTTATTTGATGTTTTTTTAATAAAAAAAAATGATATGCTGTTATTGTAATATTATTTTTGTTACAATTTATTAGTGATTTTCACGACTAAAATTTTAAGCAAAAAGTATTTTTTGAAGTTCAAAAAGATATTTCAACATTGTTTGATTTGATAAGAATTTTAAATCTTCTTTGTAAATAAATTTTTTTTGGGGGCAATTCTTTTATAAATTTTATTATATATTATATTAAACCTTTTTTATGGTATTTTATATGATCTTTTTAAGGATAATATTTTAATATGACAATTGTCATATTCGTTATTTTTTAAGATTTTTAAAATTTTTATGAAGACATTTCTTGGAAAAATGACAATTATCATAATCGGTGTTTTTAAACAGTTTAGATTTATTTTGACGCTAATGGGCAAAAATATATTTTTTTAACATGTTAAATTAAAATTTCAATTAAGATGTACCATATAAAAGTGACAATTGTCATAATCGTAATTTTTAAAGTTTTTTTGATGTAAATGAGCTAAAATAAGTATTGATAACATGTTTAAATAAAACTTCAGTGAGGATATACCCAGAGTTGGGCAGTACCGCGAATACTTGTATCTAAGATACATATCTAAGATACAAGATCCTTTTGTATCTTCCCAGTATCTTATTGACATTTTAATAAGATACTAGTATCTGTATCTAAGATCCTTTATTTTGAAAAGAATCCTATATCTTTTTCATTTTCTTTAAAAAGATACAGATACAGATTCTTTTTAATATTCATGTAAAACATTTACATATCACACAATGTTACATTATTTTATTCGTGAAATCTTGTATATTTTCTTTATTTTTTCCTGCTATATTTTAAATATATTGATAACAAAAATTAGTTGGAAATTTAGATCACAAAGATAGATAGATTAAAAATAACAACACCAAAACTAAATAAGTAAAGGTTATATTTTATATGTAATATTTTTTAATTTGTAGAATGTTTAACATTTATAGTAGTGAAGATGAAATTATGGAGATAGATAGAAGCCGAATGTCAAAATTGCACAAGTAAAAAAGTTATTAAATGTTGAACAAACTCCTCTACAAACTTTGTTAAACATATTAAAGTATTTTACATTTTTATTTTATAATTATTAACATAATAATCTCCAGTGGCCCCTACACTTTCTGAGCGAATGAAGCAGAATGCCCCCTGAAAAGTACCCACTTGAAAAGTACCCCCCCCCCCCCCTCAAAAAAATGATAATTATTTTATGATACCCATAAATTTCAAAAATAATTTTTATTGCATCAATTTTTAATATATAATATAAATAAAATGCAAAAAATATATACTTTATAAATATTATTTTTAAATTAATAATTTAGATAAATTAGGGGAAGAGAAAGCGAAAGAATTTATATTTTCAACAATATTTAATTGTTTAAATAAATTTTTTTCCATGGATAATATAGTTAAATTATTGAGAAATGAATCTTTCATGGTACTACGAAGTCTTGTTTTAATTAATTTAGTCATGACTCTTTCGGCAGTACATGAGGTTGTAAGAATGGTTAATAAATATTTATATAAAATTCTTAAATTAGGGAAAGCAGAAAAATTTAAAAGTAGACAAGGTAAAATAAATGAATAGTTTTTAAAATCTGAATCGTAATCATCATCATAAGAAGCTAAATAATGTATTGGTAAAAATATTTTAATTAAATAAATTTACAATTCTCAGAATCTGATAAATCTTTAGATTCTTGAACTTCTAGGTCATGAGTAATAATTACATTTCCCATTTTGGTCATCTTATAAATATTTCTAAACTTCAACATTTCTTCGAAAATTTGACTTGAATTTAATTTGTAAAATTCACAGATATCCTCGATATCTTCTTTAATAATTTATATTTCTGCCATTCCCTTTGGCGTAAAAAATGATGTTTGATGTAAAAATTTCATCGAATCATCATTAAATCTTTCGTTAAACTTATAATAATTAAATAGAGTGCAGCATAAAACATAACTATAAAAAACATCCAAAAATTCAGTGTTATTATCTATTAGATTAAAAAATAATTAGAGAATAATTTATATTATAGTTCTCAAATTAATCAAGCAATCTTTTGCCAATCGAATTTAATTTATTGCAAACCCTATATCCTTCGAAATGGTTTGCAATTTTGTACAAGCCAAACTTGTTATCAACAATATTTTATCCAAAACACAAAGTGATAAGATCAAATCAAATTTTTCTATTCTAAAGACTATAGCACTAGCCATAGTGGAAGTGGCAGGATCTTCAGAACCCTTTAAATTTGTTAAAGCTGCCCTCAAGGCATCATAAAGTAGAAAAATTTTTACAATAGCTTTATATGACGATAGCCAGCTTCTAAATAAAAAAACTATTTAAATCTAAATAAATAAGGTACTATTACCGAGTGGTATTCTTGATGCGTAGAAATCGTTGCGATTTTTTTAGAACACACTGACATTTTTTGAGTACCTCATATCTTTTTACACCATTAAAATAGATATAAATTTCATCTAATATTCCTAGAACATTTCGAAGTTCTTTAATTGATTGGCATAATTGAACAATGATTAAATTTAATCCATGACAATAACACAAAATAAAAGCTGCTTTTGGCGCCTCTGCTCAATCAAGGCCTGCAAACCATTGATTCTTCCACTCATGTTTGAGGCGCCAACATAACTTTACCCAATTAGGAATTCAAGGGGTAAATTCATCGAGTCAAGTTTGGATATTATATTATGCTTAATATCGAGACCTGTGGTATTTCCCGTACAATATATGTCGATCAGTCTTTCAACAGGCTTCGGCGTCTCACTATTTTCAACATATCTTACTGTCAAAGCTATTGCTTCTGATTTCGAAACATCATATGTTCCATCAACTATGATTGAAAAGCACCTTTTAAATGTAATCTCATTTTGAATTTTTTTTATAACCATATTTTTCATTGTTTTAATGAGAATATTTATGTTATTATATGATAATAGATTTGAATATAATTTCGTTTTTAATCCCTTATTTTTTTATCCCTTTTTCTTTCTTCATTTTGTTGTATATACATTATATCGTTAAAATTAAGCCCACCATGTCTTTTTCTAATGTGATCTATCCATTTATCATTTCTTATATTATGCGATTTGCAATTTTTAATTAGGCATTTGTATTTTTTTTGGTTATTTTTAGGCATATTTTAAAATTGGAAAAATAATTTATGACAAGAAATCTCGGATAACAACCTAATTTATTAAACATCGACCAAAATTTCAGTCAATATATATTAAATTAAATATTAAGTTGGGGGGGGGAGGGGGGGGGGGTCTTATTATTACATTTATAAACCAGAAATCACTTATAATGATGGATGTAACAAAACAGTAAAAGAATTAAATAATAAAGAAAATTTTTAAAAAATTTTTTTAAAAAAGTACCCCCACTCAAATTTACTGAAGCAGTTGCTTCGTACCCCCCCCCCGTTGTAGGGGCCACTGATAATCCCTACACTTAAGTACCTCTTAGATAATTGTTATTAAAATTTTTTATAGAAGATGGTTGATTATCAAATTAAAATCATTTTGGATATATATTTTATAGGGGTGTACCGATACGACTTTTTAGAGGTCGATCCGATCCAATATTCCCTATATTAAATTGATGTCGGCCGATTACCGATCCGATATCATATCTAATTTTGTATTCTAAAGATACCAATGGTTTTAATTATTAATATACTTTTTATTAGTATAACATCTATAATTTAACTATACCATAACTTATGTCATTTAAATATATTATAATGATGTTAAAGTTTATATTCAATTCAATTGCAATTCTAAAAGTATATAAAAAATATTTTTATTGTTAAATATTTTTTATATAATAAGTAATAACATTAATCTATACATATTAATTAATAAACAAATATATTATGAAATCTGAAATAAATATTTAAAATAATATTTAACATTAATATAGCGAAGATTTCTTTATAGAAATAGCAATATTTCCAATTTACCAGAGGTCAGCTTGCGGCGATAGTAACTGTCAATATCACCAGCTTCACTAAAAACAGATGAAGAGATTATCGCACACTTTTATAAACAGAGTGCGCAAAAAAAACAATATGGTAGAATGTTTATTAATTAATTATTATTATTAAAAAAATATACATAAAAATGGATTTCGATTTTATTTATATAAATAAATGATTTTAGATATAACTATTTTTTTAAATTTTATAACATTTTATTTTTGTTAAAGAAGCCATTTTTATATCGGATCAAATTTTATAATATTGACCGATAACCGATATTTTAAAATGGGTGA